TCACACCTCCGCACTGGGGCATCCATGCATCTCCTCATCACATGCCCGAACCATCTCAACCTCGCTTCCCCCATCATGTCTTCTGCCGAAGTCACCCCCAACTTTTCTAGGATATCCTCATTTTAAATTATATCTCTCATAGTATATACCCACACATACATTGCAACATCCTCATCTATGTCACTTTCATCTTCTGAATGTGAGATTCTTGATTGGCCAACATTCTACACCATACAACATAACTGGTCTAACTACCACTCTCTAGAACTTCCCTCTGAGTCCATGTGGCACCTTCTTATCACAAAGACTCCAAATGCGAGCCTTCATTCCCTCCACCTTCAATCTCTCGATTTCCCTAGATAATCCACCCAAGATACTTAAAACTACTTCTCTTTTGGATGACCTATGTATCAAGTCTAACTTCCACATTAGCTTCATGTGTCACATCATTAAAGTTGCACTCCAAGTATTTAATCTTGATCCTTCTCAACCTGAACCCAGACTACAGTCCAGGGTCAATCTCTAAACCTCTACCACTAAAACAAGGTGAAATCACTACTACCACACAAGCAGGAAATGGCAAGTAAAAGTAATACCGCACAAGATTCTAAGAAGAACTAAAATCTAAAAACTAGAGAGCAGACAAGAAAGCCAGACAGCAAACGGAACCAACCAGCAAGAGGCAGACTAGTAACTAGTTGTAAATCTAAGTAACAATGACCCGTGTACTACTCTAATTAGAGAAAACCAAGTACAAGAAATAATGAAATAAAATCAAGATGAAACTATAAGCATGAATCAGTCAACCACTAATATTTAGACTCAGCCAACCACTAATACTAAATTATAAATTTAGTGATACAGAAACACAAGAGCAAGCAGCAATATATATATCTACTAGGGTCGAATATAAAGAATCGACCAGTGCAACCAGAGGTACCAACTTCAGCAGGTAGAACCTGTGTGAAGGCAGTAGATATCAATGTGTTGTTGTTGTTGTTGTTCTAGACGAAAACAATTTGTACTCTCCTACAAGCATTGGCGCTGCTGTCTCTTGAAATTACTGGTCGCAGGCAGGAGTTGTCTCAAGGGGTGGGGGTGGGGGTGGGTAAGAAGACATTCTAAGTTGAGCGTTAGAAGAGAGAGTAAATCACATGCTAGTAGATTCAAAAAAGGCTAGCAGCCAGAAAGCAATCGAAAAACTGCTGCTATTCAACATTTGAGCATTCTAAAAATAAAATAAAAGAAGAGATGAGCAAATACCTTAATAAGTTGGGGAAGACGTAGAGCTGATTTTGTAGATACAATCTCAAGTACACCAAGGTACCGCTGATCATGGAGGTTGAACACTGGAATTGCATAATAAGAATGGATTCCCAATCGAATTCCACTTTGAAGCAGTGGAAACTCTGCAGCGGAGTAACTTGGGAGGTTGGGGTTACATTCTGGCGAGCAACTTGTGGAAACTCGTCCAAGTAGACCTTCCTTGTACTCGTCAATTGGAATCAAAGTATTGAGACAGAACCTCCTGTATGAACACAACCTCTTATCAAGTTCCTTACTGAAAACAAATAGTTGATCTGCAGTGGACAGGAAATTCGATCCGTTGACCTTGATGGGTGCCCAAAATTGAACCAGAGATATATGTGGACTCCACATTTTCTCAAGAACAGATTTGATCCTCAATTTCACCATTACAGAACTGGAAACAACAGAATAAGCAGCAACAGTAGCAGCTGGATCATGAAGATAAGATTCAAAACAAAAAACTAACAAGTGAAGCAAAAATAGTTTGATATTCACAACTGAACTCACACATGATAGGGGAAATCGATCGCTGGTACTGCAACTCATCGTCTTGTTTTATGCTCCAAAATGCCCAGCCATTGCAGTTCAGTTGATACCAGTCCAGTTGACAGGGCATTACGGCACATACCTCTGAAGCTTGATGAAGAAGATGCTCCATAGAGGAGAATTTCACTGCCTTTTCTTTTATGAGTTGAACTGAATTCAATTTGAAGTTGGAATTTCAAATTTTTCAAGAATTAAAAAACATTCAAAATTTGTTTTTCACTCCAAATTACTCATGCAAAATAAGAAATAAATCTAATTTGTGTTTATAGCCAAATATTCAAATATTATTTTCATTTTGAAAATAAAAATTACTTTTATCAAATTTCACTATGAAACATGGTCATAAAAATTCAAATATCTCTGAAAAAGACAAATTTAATTTGTGGATGGGTGCAAGAAGCTCAAGAGGTTAAAGAGGCTCCGCGTTTTGTGGCAATACATAAAAAAAAAGTACTGTAGTATACGCGCTGTAGGCTGTAGCCACGGTAGAAATTACAACAGGAGAAAGAAAGGCAAAAAGTTGTACAACTTCTTCTTTATTGAATTTTTTTTAAAAAAAGCATCCATAATTCTCAATTTGTATAATAGTGACTCTTTTCGAATAAGAAAATTCACTTCAATATAAGTTCTTTACTCCCTCCATTTTTTTTTGCATACGTCCTAAGTTTATCATTGTATATTTATTTAATGTTCTGTTGAATTTAAGTTTTTAATAAATTTAGTGTTAAATTTGTAATTCAGTTAATTATTTTTACATGGAATAGAAATGGATATTACATATTTTCACGTCATAATTAAATATTATTCAAATATCATTACCATTTCTATGATAAGATATGTAACCCTTTCTTCATCTGTTGTGGTGAGCATTACGCTTAGGGAAAGAAAGTAGGTAGTTACATGGTATGAAAGTGAACAAAATGAAATGTATTGCACTTTATATAGTGGAAGAAACTTTACAATATTAATATAGTAATTGTTACAATATGATTGTTGTGATTTACTATTTATTTTTTCTTTTATAGTTGTCTCTAATTGCTTGCCTATTTTGACAAACCAAGAAAGGACATTTTTTTACATATTATATTCTCAATTAATTACTTTAAAAAAGGTAGAACTTCTTGAAAATCTTAAGTTTTTAGTTCAACTTCATAATTAATAGGAGTAAAATGGTAAACTCATTATATCAATCATTGTTTTCTTAATAGGGATGCTAATTTAAAAGTGGACAAATAATTAAGGACAGAGAGAGTAGTAGACGTAAAAAATTTCACTCTTTCTTTTACCTTGTATATAGACACTTATGAATTAATTATTGCCCTTTTATCTTCCACCCCTACACTAGTATCATACGTTACTTTTTCACACAACTCTCACACGTTGTGTGATTTTATTATTTTTCTTTTTCTTTTCTATTATATTTATATTAGAAGAGTCGGTAAAATTATTGGTATCAACATGTCTACTAGGCATTTTAGGCTAGTCTCTTAGATAGAAGAGATAGTTTCAGGCAGTTTCAACATGCCTGCTTAACGTCAATAAAATAGAAGTTAAGGGTATATTTGGCTTTTCAGTCATTTGGTTATACATGTCTTTCATTCCATGACTAAACACACACGTAGCCCACCACTTCATGCTTTGATTTTATCCAAAGCCTAATATGTATCCTCTTCGTCTTTCCATTCTCATTCCCTGCTGTGATGAATTCGATGTTTTTCTCATACCTGAAAATAGTTTAAGTTATTTTTCCCTCAATTCGATATTTTTATCCTTTTTTTAAAAAAAATCTGGTTGTGATTTAGCTGCTTTTTGATAAATTTTCTTTTTTTGCGTATGTCTAGCAAGATGGCAAAAAGGTTAAGAGATCAGGAGAAGCTTGTCAATTTCAGAATTTTAAGCCGCACACGCAATTTGTAGAAATAAGTAAGATTTTACTCATTCATGATGGGTTTTTTTTGTTACTTAATTGTAATTTTCCAAAACTTGTTTTGCTTGAACAGGTTCATCGTTTATTTATATTAGAAGAGTCGGTAAAATTATTGGTATCAACATGTCTGCTAGGCATTTTAAGGGTATTTTGGTCATTTAAATTGTAATTGAGCAATTGCATTGGCGGAAAAAACTATCCTCTCGCCTATGCTTTGCTATATTTTGTCTGTGCAGACATTTTGTCATTTATTGATTAGTGTCTATTAAAGTGAAGATGATGAACATACATCATCATTTACTTCCTCTATATTTTTCAACTTATCATTATTTATTCATCTAAAGATTATTTAGTTGTATGTATTACTATTAACATAAACGTATGGAAGAAATTAAAGTTTTGTTTGGTTATTATCATTTTTTATAATATAAGATTTATATTGATACTTAATGGATCGCTGGTAGTCCAACTCGTCGTTGTGTTTTATGCTCCAAAATGCCCAGCCATTGGACTTCAGTTGATAAGGCATTAGTAGAGCCGTCAATATGGGCTAGCTCCGTTGGACCAGCTTGGCTTAACCCCTGACTTGATAGGGCTAGGCTACGATTTTTGGAGTCAATTTAAGAAAAGGTTTTTTTAGCTCGAATAAGTCTGTCGATTTGTGGGGCTTGAGAAATATAGATAAGGCTGGCCTGTGGGCCAAATAAAAATTGGAAAAATTAGCAAACTAGTCACAATCCCTAACTTAATTAGTAAAAATATTTATACTTTAAAATAATTATTTAAAATGTCAAAATGTCAATATTTTAGAATATAATTTATATTCAAATACAATTATTTGTCTTTCCTTTTATTTCTCAAAACGGTCCAACATGAAATACATCCACTACCCATTTGCACTTCTTCCTAGGCTTTAATACCATTAAATTTATTTTCCATCTTTTACGTTTTCAATTTTTTTTCTCTTTCATCAACTTTTCAATTTTCACTATTGTCCCCATCATTTTTTCATTTTTTTCTCTTTCATCAATTTTCACCATTATTCTCTCCATCATTGTTGAAGAAGAACTCATTATTCAAGTTCATACCAATTTGTTCAGATCTATCAATTAATTCAAGAAATCTCTCAATTGATATAGGTATTTTCGAAGTCATCATTTATTTTGCGAGATTTCATGAGATTTTGTTTTCAAAATCACAAATTATGTTGAATTTTGGATTGTATGTATTACGAATTTTTCGTCATTTTTTTCGATTTTTATGTGAGTTTGTTAACATACTCATCAAATAATTATCCATTTCGGATTTTTAGTATTTTAAACACCATTGTTTGATTTTTTTGTGATTTTATTTTTATATTTGAGATTTAGTAGATTGTAATTTGTAGTAATCTACATTAGCATTCATACATAATATATTGTTTAATTATTTTTATATATTCATATTTAATAATTTTTGAATTTTGCTTATAGAGTTACTAATGCACAAGTGAATACAGATTCAGATTTGGGTTTGGTGAAAAAAATCGGAAAAAAGAAACATAGCAAACAAAGAAGAAAGAGAGAGTCAGAGAAGAAGGTTGCAAAATTGTATTCATACCATAATAGTATTCATATTAATTTTTGTTTGTCAATTGTTTTTCTTTTACTCATCATTTGTATTTTTATTAAGAACATTGTATTTCTTTTTTAGTTTGTAGTTATTCAAATAGGTATGTCAAATGGATTTGTATTTCTTAATCATACATGTATCCTATTTTTTAATAGTCAATTTGTATTATTTTTTTAGAATATTGTATCATTTCTCAATAGATTGTATTATTTTCACTATGTATGCTATTTGTTTTCCAGAATCTTGTATCCCTATTTCTTTCATAGTCAATTTGTATTTATTTTCTTAGAATATTATATCTTTCCTCAACAGATTGTATTATTTCCATCATGTATGCTATTTTTTTTTCCAGAATCTTGTATCCTTTCATAAATCATATTCATATGTAATGATTAGATTATATTGAGATCCAATCGTAATATTTTTGTAATACAAATAAAAGAAAAATATATTTGGCAGACATGTAATACAATTTTGATCACTGAAATACAATTTGTAGTTTTCACTATGAAAGTAAAAAAATCAATTTTAATTTGAATGGTAAAGTGAGCACAAAAAATATAAAAATTATTGGTATACAATTATAATGAAAACATAATAAAAAGGAAAGTTTATCCAATCGAATGAAAAAGGGATTTTTTTAAAAAAAATTGTAACTGATGAGAATTTTAAGTGATATGTTCCTTTTTTTCAAAAAATATTATCTCCCTTGATTTTCTCCTTTCTAAATAATTGTACTCTTGAAAATCAAACAAATAAAAAATACATAAATCAAATACATAACAAACTAAAATATTGACATTTTAGATAAATATTGAAAGTGTGGCTAAGGAAACCTATTAAATGTCAAAATATTGACATTTTGAAAATTTTCCCATAAAAAATAAAATAGAGTATTAAAAATAAGAAGGGCCTACTCAAAATTTATTTAAAGTTTGAAATATTACAATTTCAATACAAATTATGTTTATAAAATATGTACTACATAAAATAAAAATGCCCTAAAATTTCTAGCTATTTAGCTTAATATTTCTATTTAGCTATTTATGCTTTTACTTGAAATTAAACTTAATAAATATTATAAAAATAATTTTATTTGTGTATTTAATTAACAAGTAGTACACTAACACCATTTAATATTGTTTTGTCGATATTTATGATAATATTTTTAAATTATAATTTAATTTAAAAAATTATAAAAAAATATACTTTTAAGAAAAAAGGCTGGCCCAACAAAGCCCGTAGCCCACGTATTTGGGGATTGGGCCGACCATTTTCTGGTCCACACAAAAAATGGGTTAACCCGGCCTGGCCCGTCAAATTTCAAAGCTTGTATGGATTGGCCCGAATGGGATGGGCCAGCCCATATTGACAGCTCTAGGCATTAGGGAACATACCTCTGAAGGTTGCTGAAGAAGATGTTCCTAGAATTTCACAAATTCATTGCTAGCGTAGTAAGCGATAATCAAGACCCTCCAAAGTCAAAACTTACATTTATCGATTCAAATTTCACTGAAAAGATTAGTATCGAATGATTGGATAGATAACAAATTATAAATACATATATCTGTTATATGCTACATGTAGCTGGTACATAATTAATCCATCAAAGTCA